TCAGTATCAGATAATAATAATGCAATAGGACACCATGTCAATATGTCAAAATACTAGAATTGACACCTTTTGTCCAGGGACACCTCCCTCACCTGCCCCACGGACACCTCCCTCACCTGCCCCAAGGACACCCACATCTGCCTCAGCAGGTGTGGGTGTCCCCCCACATATGTCTCCTCCAAGGACACCCACATCTCAATATCTGCCCCAAAAAACACCCACCCATCTTCTCTAAGGGTACCCACACCCTTCCCCTGCTCCAGGGACACCCAAACACCCCTCCCCTGCTCCAGGGACCCCCAAACACCCCTCCCCTGCTCCAGGGACCCCCAAACACCCCTCCCCTGCTCCAGGGACCCCCAAACACCCCTCCCCTGCTCCAGGGACCCCCAAACACCCCTCCCCTGCTCCAGGGACCCCCAAACACCCCTCCCCTGCTGCACCCAAACATCCCTCCACTGCTCCAGGGACCCCCAAACACCCCTCCCCTGCTCCAGGGACACCCAAACACCCCTCCCCTGCTCCAGGGACACCCAAACACCCCTCCCCTGCTCCAGGGACACCCAAACACCCCTCCCCTGCTCCAGGGACACCCAAACACCCCTCCCCTGCTCCAGGGACACCCAAACACCCCCAAACACCCCTCCCCTGCTCCAGGGACACCCAAACACCCCTCCCCTGCTCCAGGGACACCCAAACACCCCTCCCCTGCTCCAGGGACACCCAAACACCCCTCCCCTGCTCCAGGGACACCCAAACACCCCTCCCCTCCAGGGACACCCAAACACCCCTCCCCTGCTCCAGGGACAAACCCCCGCCCCTGCTCCAGGGACACCCAAACCCCCGCCCCTGCTCCAGGGACACCCAAACACCCCTCCCCTGCTCCAGGGACACCCAAACACCCCTCCCCTGCTCCAGGGACACCCAAACACCCCTCCCCTGCTCCAGGGACACCCAAACACCCCTCCCCTGCTCCAGGGACACCCAAACACCCCTCCCCTGCTCCAGGGACACCCAAACACCCCTCCCCTGCTCCAGGGACACCCAAACACCCCTCCCCTGCTCCAGGGACACCCAAACACCCCTCCCCTGCCCCAGGGACGCCCAAACATCCCCGTCAACCCCTTCACCACCACAGTCTGGAGCACCACAACACAGAGATGAGAGGGGGGGGCTCCACCACACCCACTGGCCACACCCGGGGGGGCTACACCCCCCCTCCATACAAAGCCAGCCTGGGGTGTACCCGCCCCCCAACACCCCTCACCCCACACCCACACCCCCTCCCCCAGGCTATATAGTATAGGACTATATAATAGTGGTGGGGAGGGGGTTAGAGAGAGAGGCAAGACTGACCATGCAGGTGGACGTCAGAGAGCTTGAGGGAAGAGTGGGGGTCGAACACCCTGATCCTGCCGTCCGTGGTGGTGACCAGGAGCACGTTGAGCGCCTGGTGGAAGCACAGGCCCTCGATGCTCTCCCCGAGCTCTATGGCGCCGTCCTCCTCCAGGCACAAGCTATCACTCCACACGGACATTTTTTCATTACGAGCTTTTGGGGGGATGATGTTCTGTCACAGTATAAGGGCGAGGGGAGGCCCGGCCGATGCTCAGGCGCTGGGAGAAACAGCTGACGCCGCGGAGGGGGGTTGGAGGCCACGCAGGACGCCTATACTCTGGGATCCAACACCCTGTGGCGCCCAAGCCCATCCGATTCTCCTTCAGCTGCGGGTGATGCCATCTGGTGGGATCCCCGCCGATGTCTGGGGGATCCGATGCCCTTCCAGTCGGCCGCTCGGGGGCTCACATCTACCTCGGAAGGAACTTTATTGACAGAGAACATGGCTTTATTATATTAACCTGCAATGTTAAATGGGATTCTTGTAATGTTATTTGTCTATTTGTACTCACTGAATTTGTGCGCCCCCTTGAGGGACTTGAAGTATAGGGGGGGGGGGGGTAGAAATAGCTTAAGCTACTCTGTCCCTTTGAGATGTATTTCTTTCTTATCTCAATAAACATACTTGAACTTGAACAAGGCTTTATTTCTTTACTGAGATGAATGTTATTTGATTAGTGAATGGCAGGAGGGTGGCGTCACACTCTTGTACGCACGAGACATGAATACTCCTAGAGTCATGGGTTACTCAATTAACACGAATGATTCTCGTATAGTAATAGTTAAAAGTTTTAATTAATTTTTGCGTTGAGATAGGTATTTTCTCCCCCTGATTCCATGTATGACTCGCCAGGCTGTGAGATGGGAATATTAGATAAATTTATAGTTAGTTTTGTATCTCTACTGTGTAATCTTTCATGGATAGAAACATTAAAATTATTATTTATTTATTCACTTATATTTGCTTACAAACACACTTATTTATGTCAAACGATCCTTTTTAATATTGTCTTTTTTCCAAGGAAGAATAATGTAATTATATATCAACTGTACGTGACTTAAAAATCATATTAAATTACATTCCAGTTAATACACTATATACTACAATCATTCCTGGTCTCATCTGGTGGAGAGTATGATAATGATGCATGCAGGGAAGCAACCTTAAGAATGATAAAGAGTAATATCATTGCAACAAACATGACTTGATTATAGGGTGAGGCTTGCGTGACGCCGGACGACCTACGCACCCCAATTGCATCATATAATGTTGGCTCGTGCTGTGGTCGGTCTCGAACCCCATTGTTGATGTGACGACTTCTACTGAATGTTCTAACTAGCTCATCAAGATTGTAACTTGCTTAGCTAAATGAATTGTGGAGTTCAGTCCCTGAGCCCATTATGTGCCTCTGTAACCCTTTCCATTACCGCCCACAAGATGGGTATGAGGTGCATAATAAATGAACTAAACTAATTCGTGGCTGTTTATACCTAGATGTACCTGTATGTAACGCGAGAGTTAGCTCTTGGGCCCTGTCATACTGGCTGTTATTCAAGAACATATGTATTGAAATCCAATTAAAACGAGAAATCAAGTTAACAAAAAAAAAAGATCAACTTATGCAAGGATTGAATCATTCAATGAATCAACCCAAGCAAGCAATCATGCATTAGGCCACCTCTAGAATCATCATCACCTGGAATCACCATAGATGGAATATAATAAATAATTGATTGAAAATTGGAGAGATTTGCTGCAAGCTAAACTATAGGAACACGGGGACAGGTTTAGAGAACCTTACGACACTAGATGAGAGAAGGATACCAAGAGATAGTTTAACAACATTTAAGATATTAAGGGGAATACCCAAGACATAAGAATGAAAGGTAACGGCAGAAGGCCTATTGGCCCATTAGAGGCAGCTCCTATTTATACCCAATCTCATTCATATATATGTCTAACCTACGTTTGAAACAATCAAGGGATCCTATTTCTGTTATGTTACGCGGTAGTTGATTCCACAAATCAACAACCCTGTTACCGAACCAGTAACTACACAAGATCTAACTACAGAGTATGCGGAGGGTTTAGGTGTAAATGGAACCCCCAAGCAATGATCAGAGGTGATGGAGTGTCCGAGATACCTGGAGGCAGAGATCTTGGAAGCCATTTAACTTAAGCACGCGAGCCAAAATTAAAACAAAATCTTTGAATGTGCCTTTATTTAAAAAAAGGATGTTTACAATTGAACACAGCTGAACTCAAGACAATTGAATAAATCTAGAGTCAAATGAGTAAGTGCACTAAATCGGGTGGTGATGCACTCGAGCTATGGGACGTTAGGTGACACTTACAGCTTCAAGAGCCAGTATGACAAGAGTACGTGGCATAGCTATGAGACAGGATTTAAGAGCTAAATCTCACTTAGAGCTAAACAGATAGCTCTATAGATAGATAGGCTATCTAGCCTAACCCCCCCCACCCCTGGGGGTTAGGTTAGATCGCTCCATAGATAAGATATCAAGATAAATCATCTCCAGATAACCCCGTATATATGTAGGCACAACTAGGTATAAGCACATGCATAACTTAGAACACAACATGTGTTGCAATACTTCCTGCAACTCCTTTACTCTACGCAGAAAGAGTTTAACTCATAATAAAATAAATAACTGAATTTTTAGCCAAGGAATGTTATTGTTCCTATCCCCAAAATAAATGTAGATAGTTATAGACCCATATCGTTAACATTTTGTATTTATTAAGTATTTGAATACATTGTACTTAACAGTCTCGTGTTAAATACAACACAACACTTAATTTTACTTAATACTTTGATCATATTACTTGTACTCTCCCTCAAGCAATCTCACCTATTTGCATACCAACTCACGTAGGTATTGGTTCCCAAACTGGGGTCTACATTCCCCCGGGGAGGGAAGGGGTTTTTGCAATACGGCGAGGGCCATACCATGTAGCAGTGTACAGGTTATGATACCAGAGGATACCAGAGGGGCCTTTACTGAGTTTACACTACACTACACAACACTTTACTGAGTGCTGGGGGGGGGGGGGGGGCATTAAATTAATAAGGACGCTGCATGAAAAAAGGGTAGTGACCTTACAGAGTTTGAGAGGAATCTTGACTCAAGTTCACACGCTCAAATTCCAGAGAATTGTCGCAATTACCAGACGCGAGGCTCCGCGGTGCTGTCACCCCTGGTTGTCACTTCACTCCACACCCACCCCCATGGGGAAAGCCCTCTAGTGCTCCACACACCTCCCCTGGGGGCCTAGTGCTCCACACACCTCTCCTGGGGGTCTAGTGCTCCACACCCCTCTCCTGGGGGTCTAGTGCTCCACACACCTCCCCTGGGGGTATAGTGCTCCACACCCCTCCTCTTGGGGTCTAGTGCTCCACACACCTCCCCTGGGGGTCTAGTACTTCACACACCTCCCCTGGGGTTCTAGTACTCACACACCACCCCTGAGGGTCTAGTGCTTCACACACCTCCCCTGGGGGGTCTAGTACTCCACACACCTCCCCTGGGGGTCTAGTACTCACACACCTCCCCTGGGGGTCTAGTGCTCCACACCCCTCCCCTGGGGGTCTAGTACTCCACACCCCTCCCCTGGGGGTCTAGTGCTCCACACACCTCCCCTGGGGGTCTAGTGCTCCACACACCTCCCCTGGGGGTCTAGTGCTCCACACCCCTCCCCTGGGGGTCTAGTACTCCACACCCCTCCCCTGGGGGGTCTAGTGCTCACACACCTCCCCTGGGGGGTCTAGTACTTCACACACCTCCCCTGGGGGTCTAGTACTCACACACCTCCCCTGGGAGTCTAGTACTCCACACACCTCCCCTGGGGGTCTAGTAGTCCACACACCATCTCAAGATAACCTCCCCTGGGAGTCTAGTACTCCACACCCCTCCCCTGGGGGTCTAGTAGTCCACACACCTCCCCCGGGAGTCTAGTACTCACACCCCTCCCCTGGGGGGTCTATTACTCACACACCTCCCCTGGGGTCTAGTATTCCACACACCTCCCCTGGGGGTCTAGTACTCACACACCTCCCCTGGAAGTCTAGTACTCCACACACCTCCCCTGGGGGTCTAGTACTCACACACCTCCCTTGGGGGTCTAGTGCTCCACACACCTCCCCTGGGGGTCTAGTGCTCCACACCCCTCCCCTGGGGGTCTCGTGTTAACCCCGTGTTAATCTCGTTAACCCCGTGTTAATCTCGTGTTGTGGTCTAGTACTCCACACCCCTCCCCTAGGGGGTCTAGTAGTCCACACACCTCCCCTGGGGGTCTAGTACTCCACACCCCTCCCCTGGGGGGTCTAGTGCTCACACACCTCCCCTGGGGGTCTAGTACTCACACACCTCCCCTGGGAGTCTAGTACTCTACACACCTCCCCTGGGGGTCTAGTATTCACACACCTCCCCTGGGAGTCTAGTACTCCACACACCTCCCCTGGGAGTCTAGTGCTCCATACCCCTCCCCTGGGGGTCTAGTAGTCCACACACCTCCCCTGGAAGTCTAGTACTCACACCCCTCCCCTGGGGGTCTAGTACTCACACACCTCCCCTGGGGGTCTAGTACTCCACACACCTCCCCTGGGGGTCTAGTACTCACACACCTCCCCTGGGGGTCTAGTACTCCACACCCCTCCCCTGGGGGTCTAGTACTCCACACACCTCCCCTGGGGGTCTAGTACTCACACACCTCCCCTGGGGGTCTAGTACTCCACACACCTCCCCTGGGGGTCTAGTACTCACACACCTCCCCTGGGGGTCTAGTACTCACACACCTCCCCTGGGGGTCTAGTACTCACACACCTCCCCTGGGGGTCTAGTACTCACACACCTCCCCTGGGGGTGCAGTACTCCACACACCTCCCCTGGGGGTGCAGTACTCCACACACCTCCCCTGGGGGTCTAGTACTCCACACACCTCCCCTGGGGGTCTAGTACTCCACACACCTCCCCTGGGGGTCTAGTACTCCACACACCTCCCCTGGGGGTACAGTACTCCACACACCTCCCCTGGGGGTTTAGTACTCCACACACCTCCCCTGGGGGTCTAGTACTCCACACACCTCCCCTGGGGGTCTAGTACTCACACACCACCCCTGGGGGTCTAGTACTCACACACCTCCCCTGGGGGTCTAGTACTCACACACCTCCCCTGGGGGTCTAGTACTCACACACCTCCCCTGGGGGTCTAGTACTCCACA